ATGCGAAAGTACTGTCCGCCTTGCGGAAATAGAGGGTAATTGTGTTGAGGAATCTGTGGATGCCTTACATTGAATGCGCTTCACATTTCGCGAGTTAAAATATGTATATATGTGTAGATTCTCAACACTGGACAGATTCAACAAATGGCCGCGGCAATGGATCATGACACGAAAAGACAGATTGTAAAAGGAAAAGACTTATTGCTGGTCGGACTATCAATACACCGTCTGTAAATCATAATATTGTAAATAAAAAACGTAAACGTCGTAAAAAGTAAAACGTCGGTGACGAAGCTTTTTTACACAACGAAATGTTTTCTACTCTGTAAACGGCGTAATATTTGGTAACCAGGCGCTACGCCGGAAGAAAAATTCTCTCGGACCAACATCAAAACACTGCGATGACCAACATCAGCTCATGGACTGACGGGTAAAAACCACTGCTCTAAATGCATGCTCTTCTTACCCTAACTTTTGTAGGATCTTTCAAACCCGATTTTGTGTGTCATGACTTAAAAGTGATAACGTTACTTACTTCAGGTATGCTAAGTTCCTTATTCAAATTCATAATTGCAACAGATTCGATAGTAACTATCTATAAGTGCTAATGATCTAATTTTTAATCTTCGAAGCAAAAAATTATATAAAAAATCAGAAAGGTAGTTTGGTATTCTATTTTATAGCATTTTAATTTGATAGCCCTTTATACTACCATTGATCATTTTGAAAACAGTAGCGTTACAATTAAACTATAGACCAAATCAAATATTACCACTTACCTATCAAATCTTCTTTGCTTCAAGATATGTTGATGATATTACTGAATCATATGCAAAATTCCCCGTCGCAATCCACTTTCGTTATATCAAGTGTAATTGTAGTACACTCCTCCAAAACCATTGAAATGTAAACAAAAACATCTTGATTAATTTCTCGTTAATTAGTGAACACTTCATATACACTTTATTTCGACTATGACGCAGTTTGTGTTTTGATGTGAATTGTGCTGATTGATCATTATTATTTGTTTCAGATTCTATGGCTGTTGCTTGAAAATATTTTGTAATATTAGTTATACGGTGCTTTGATTGTTTCTAGCTAAACATGTAGTAAACATGCAAATGGCATCTAGTCATACCGAAAATAGCCAAAAACAACGTCGAATAGATTATTCAGGTTTGTTTCACGCCATGGTTTATTGCTTTGAAATATTATGTGATGACTAAGATGGTAGGCAGACCAAGTTACGTTAGTGACAAGAATGGCGTTGCAAACTTCCTTGTAATGAAGAGACTAGCAGGTAAAAATATTAGGTATTTGGATTCTGGCTACAACCATAACGTGCAAAAGCAAGAATGATATACACATTTGATTGACATTTGTAATTTCATGATATAATAATGATTTTTTTCATCGAGCTAACTATTCTATTTAATATACGTTTTTCATGACTGTGTTATTTTTATCACTTGATAATTTTTTTGTTGGAAAAAATTTAGAAGGGAAGTTATTCAATGGTATACTTGATTTGATCAAAATTCAATAATATAGAATAAATTAATGTTTGTCATATAATTTTAAAGATATATTTTTCAAAATATAAAAATTTTGAAAATAATTTCATTTCATTGTTTAATTTTGTCAACGTCGGGATAAATACTATTTTATACACTTTTATTTGTATGTTTTTTCTTAGGTAATCTATGTGTGCCCATTGAATATGTGTCGCACTTGACCACTTGCTTGTTCACTTTCCCTACATCGAATTCATTCTAATTACAAACAGATAACATTTCAAATGGTAAAGCAAACAAGGATGGGATTTTTAGTCAATGAATCATATATGGGCAGTTATGGAAAAACAAGACTGCAAGTGATTGGAGCGATAAAACTCCGGTTTTCAATTTGTTTTGGCAATGCTCTGATGAAACTTGAGAATGTTTTTATCGCAACGAGTTTGAACTGGTTTTACTGAACTTTAATTTATTCTTTACATATTCACGTGCAAATTGTCTTGTCATCTAAAAAACTTTGGAGTGCTATTTCGATACGGTTCGTACTTTGAAATATGCATTAAAAAAAGTTTCTTATTTCCATTTGAATTTCGAATAATTTTGGAAAGATGTTTATTTAGCTTACTCTACGAATCATTTTCCTGCACATTTAAGGATGCCAAGATTCTTTGAGTAGGCCTGCTAAATTGTTGAAATAAATTTTTTATTTTCAATCGATAATTCATACATTACCGCTTTCTCCTGAATGTTATGGAATATGCATTGAGTATTTAATGCTCTGAGTGTTCTTTTAATGGTTCCAGTGCAAATGTAACAGAGAACTTGATTTGGGTTTTCGAATAGCGTGACATCAGTAACACGTCTCTAGGAAATATGAAAAAGACACAATCTTGATAAATATATTTATCCTGACACAGTTCCAATTCTGAAGTCAAAGAAAGTACTAGATGAATCATCTAAAATCGAAATTGAAGATGGTTGGACTACCATCTTCATATATTTTAGTTGAAATGTGTGTGTATCAAGAATGCCATTATAGATCGAAACGCGTCAATAAAAGTTGAATCTCTTCACCGTGCTTGCCGATATTTTCCCCGTGACTGCATAAACTTGTACAAATCAAGAATACGCCAATGCATTGAATACAAGAGAGCAATGCTCAAATATATGAAAACGCAGACCAATTCCCCAAAACTCATATATATGCGATAACTTACTAGTACCTGTATCGGGGTACCGTAACGGTACAAAGACTGTCATAGCTTTTTAGGTCCTGTGACAATGATCCAATTTTCCTGATTGTGTTTAAACATCAATTGAAATATCACATGATCTGAGTCACTTCTGTATTACCGGATCAGGTACCGCAGTCAAACATTTCTCATAAAAACGTCCCAAAATCATATGCTTTAACTTACCAGCCAGCGCTTGAATCGGGGTACAAATACCGATACAGGGACTGTCATAGCTCCTCCATGTCCTGTGGTAATGATCTATTCTTCTCCATCTAATTTTACGTGAATGGAAATTCTAAGTGATTACGGTACCAGGGCAAAATAAAAAGAAAATATGGATTCCCCGATGTTACTCAATTCATTCCAGTAAAAGTTAATATTTGCAAGGCTATAAAAATGCAACTATTTTCAATTCTTTCAGCATGATTTTAATGCGTTACTATTTTGCATAGGTTAGCTTTTATGATTAAATTTTATGGTCATGTACTCTAACAGGAATATGATTCGCCAACCCTCAGGATGCGCCACTCGTTTCATCAATGTTGCGCAACACACCGTTTGCGGATAGGGCCGCCAGCTGAAATTATTCGGCCTGAGATGTATCAACTATCATTTACAAGAATGCGGCCAGTGGCTTTTTATGCAGTTTTAAACCGCAGTGAAGATATTGTTAAAAATTATTTGTGGTATACCCAAATATTCTTTGTCGAACTTAAACTGCGGTAAAATCAATTATTTTTTTACCTAAGCAAACTTTTACAGGTGAGAAAAAGAGAGATGAGCCTCTACTATGACATTTGTGCATTTGCAGACAATGCTTCAAGATATTGTAATGTTTCAGCCGTCTTGTAACCACCACGATCACTGTGGCGTAACCTTAGATATCATTAAACTGGCTCTGAAAAACAATTGTTATGCCACAAACGCGTTGACTGGTGTTGAAAAGAGATACCCGTTGTTTTATATCGGGGTTCTCAACCTGGGGTTCGCGAACCACCACGAGTTCACGAGAAGATTTCTAGGGGTACTTAAATGAAAGTTGACTTTTTTCATGTGTTGCTATTTTCAATGTTATTTACCATCAGAGGAAAATGCGTGCTGATTGAAACTCAGTGAAACTCCAAAGACGATATGCTGTTTGCTCGTCGAATTGAGAAACTCATTTGCAATAAACAGGGACAGCCTTAACATTAATGTTCTGTATAAATAAAATAAATACTTCTGTTAATATCCTTCAAAACAGCGGTTCCCAAGCCTTCTGGTGGACAGGTAAAATTAAATCAAATGTTCTCGCGAACCGGCAAAAAATGGAAATGAGTGAGGTAGAAAGTAATAACATAAATATTCGCAATGTCGGGCACTCACTATGATTCTAGATAAATAAAAAAGGGCACACTTGAAACATTTCACATGAATAAAATCAAATGATACGCCGACTAAAAATTGAAATGAGCTAATCAAACTTGGTCCAGGAGAAGACCTATTCTCCTCGTTTTTGTTAAAAAAATATCAAAATGCATTGTTGGTCAACTGATCTCCTAAAAACCGTTCTGCAGTTTATCAACGTCTCAAACAAAATGAATCTACATTAGTATGACAAAGTCGTCGGTCACTAGGCACCAGGTTTAAAATCCTGCTGTACATGACCTGAGAAAAACCTCTAATGCACATGCTTTTGTAAACCTCCAGAAGTATTGGCGCACAATCTGAACATAGTATGTGTACCAGGTTAGGGTTCAGGTTGTGCGCCATCTTGGTGCACATACTTCGGGAGCGCCGCTTTGTGGCGCGTCTCGTGACTACCTGCAGGGTCGCAACGAGATCGTGTATTACGGGATAGCAGAACTAACCCCTGAAATATTATACTGTCCGTAAATGTTTTCTGGTTTAAACAAAGAAATATTTATACCCTTCTAATTGGATGTTCATATTAAGCAGAGAGAGCATGCAGAACAAAAAAAAAATACGATTGCCGATCTTCGTGTTTCTGAATTTCGCAAGATTTGACGGACGCTTTCTCGATGAATCGGATTTGAAAAAACAATAAGTGCGATTACTCGGCGCCAAGACGTCGTTGGGCCAATAATACCGCAAATAGCAATATGTTGGCAAACGAGAAATTGCGTATTAAACAAACGCAATATCGTTATTTTGGGTTCGACAAAAATCTGGTACTCGTGCATTTTTATTTTGCTTTAAAATTCAGTCGAATGCTAGGTGTAACGAACATTTTAGTCGATCCCAATCAAGACCACCCCTGCTTTAATGAAAAAGTCTAACAAACCCACATTTGAACCACATCTGAGGTTCAGGTATTTTTCTGTATTGTGTTGTTTTTGCGCGTGTTCCTTTTCTTGCCACTAAAGAGTTAATTTTCAATCAAATTCCTGTTATACCTGGTTGCGAAACATTAATTTTAAATCCGGGATGGTGGTATTCCTACTCTACCCACACCCATTTGAAAACATAAAATATTTGACATAGCATTTCTAGTGTTCTTCGGTTCTTTACATGCATATATGCAAAATAATGTTTCACGAATGATGAATTCTTGATTGAATTGGTATACGCACGATATAAACAAATAAATCAGTTTATTAGCAACCTAAATTAATCGCTAAGTCAAAAGGCGTGATATACCAAAGATAGAAAGTGCCAAGATAAGAAGAGAAACAGCTATAGTATTGACCACAGAATTTTCTAAGTGTACAGCACACAAGTCATATCGTAATACAGTATCGTAGCAGTTACATTATATTCAGTGATATATATACAATTTTATTTTTAAACTATTATTACTTAAAACGCCTGCTTACTTCCCTTCAATTTCTTTCGTTTCCGTTCATTGCTGTGGCAATTTGCAAAACATCAGGTCTGTGGTTTGCTATATATTACTAGTTTTATATTGTATATTCAAACAGTAATGCAATCGAGTCCATGTAATCGAGCGAGCGCTAATTAATTTTTTATATTGACGGACTCCAATGGTTTATGGTCATAATCGATATTTACAAGATTCAGTGTATATAAGTAGTCACGAAAACAGTAGGAGTAAACGCTCGTAACATGACTTTGCTTCACGCATATGGAACTTGTATCAAATCAGTTCCCATATACACTTGTAGCTGGAATCAATCGATGGTGTTGCTGTTTACAAATATCTCTAGTCCTACAATATCTAATTTTGTTTAAAATATGGATACCATATGGATAAATATAGTTCCAAATGCGGTATTCACGTCCATGTATCAAGCAACATCTATATTTGCATAATGCTTTATTGGGTTATCCGCTTACAAAGACTTTGAATCAACATCTGTAAGTATGGGAATGCCTTTCAATTTTGTCTATATCTATAAAATTATATTGGTGATGAGTTGGGATTGAACATTTTAAATGATATGCCAACATTTTAAACGCTGATTTTCTGAAAACAAGGCTGATCAATACTTGAGTTTATTTTTTCAAATCTTTCATGAAATTGGGGTCTAGTGACAAGCCATAGTGCATAAATGGAAGCGCTTCCCAGTAAAAGTTGTGCTGTGGTAAACAAAGCTATATAACTTTATTTTTTAATGCTAACAGAACTAAACGCATGAAAACAAGTTTATTAATAATCATATCACGACTTGGGTGATTATTTTCCTGACATTTTGTAATGCACCAAACTTACCGAATATGATTTATGATAGCATTCCTATTGTGAATATTCGCTGTTACAATCAGAATCATTGCATCGGATTTATTTTCATATACATTAGTCAATAATACTGCTTTTTAACATTTTAACAATTGAAGTAGGCGCGGCTCAATATAACGAAAACCCTGTTATAGAGAAATTCTCTAAGTATATGAAAAAACAGTTTACTTTGATGAAATCCAAACTATAGACCCTGTGTCTGGTTAAGGCAAAGGCAGGCATTTCATTGGATCAGCTCCCCCATTATATACGTGAACCCATATCAAAAACTTTGTATCGAAATTGAATTTTGTGTCCCCCGAGCCTCAGCCTACCCTATACGTAATGGTAAATCCGGTCCTGAATATGAAAAATAGCACTTGCAGTAGTTCAGTTTCAAACAGGATTATGTCACAAAAAATAATATTCAGATTTTTTCAAGTTGGGAATACTTGTCTGTTCATTTTCCCCATAATATGCACAAGAAATGGTGAAAATATAGCTGTTAGTGTGTTACTAACACTAATGCGTATATCGATCTAAAATATTTTTGAAATAAAACAAAATCACCATAGAAACCGTATCGGTAAATCTATCCATGTAACTAACTATTACACAGACAAGTAAATTCATTTCATTTTTGAAAAGTCATATCAACACTGTAATAACATTGATATATGATTTTCTGAATAATAATAAAAAACATTTATCGAATTTAACCTTTCTGGAATAATATATGACACATTTCTAATTGATTTGTTTGTTATTTCTCATGACACTAGTATATTTCTGAACACGTGGAGGCATAAAACTTGGCAAATATTCCAATTTCATGAAGAGCATTAATGAAAGCTGCAACCTGTGACAAAGTAGGATTTGGACTTGGAAAAGATCCACGAATCATACGATGCTCTGAGAAACGGAAAATGTAAGTATTAATAATTGTATGCCCTACTCCATTCGATCTATTATATATTTTCTCACATTGCGATCTCATTATGTCATTAAAAAATTAGTTTTTTGCGATAATACTCTGATTTCATCAGACGCTACATACACGAAGCTTAAATGATAGAGATTTATTTCCAAGATAGGTAGAGAATAAAACGTTTTGATTCATCGAGCGTACTGTTCTCATTCAAGTATTTCTTAATTTGATTTGCAATAGGTACGGGTGCTTCTATCTTTGTCGCAGAAAGTATTATATAGGCCTATAAGGGTGTCCATAAAATCTTTAGAAAAATTAAAATTGCAGAGGGAATTTATCGATGTCGTATATTGTCTTAGCCCACACAGATGTATTGAATAAAGTTAAAATATTTGAACAATTACTAATTGAAAAACAACAAACCGGTTCAAAATATATTGAGGACTGACTCCATAACAAAATTAAAATTGTAAAGTGACTTTATGTACACAAATTACTTCTACGATTTTTAGGTATAGGATGACCCTTTTCATACATTTATCAGCTATTCCGTTCGACGGACAAATGAAAAGTGTCAAATAATTTTTGTAGTCAGTCAGGTAAACAGAATTGCCATTGGCTAGAAAGTTGTCTGATATATAAAAAATAGAAGTAAATGCACTTTATTGCAGCATAAACAATGATTCAGTTTTAAAATTATATTGAAGCTGAACATGTTTTTATATATTTACCCATATCCATGACGGTTTCGCTATCAAGTCCGTTCGTTTTTACGTGCTCGTCGTGAAAATATTCTAAAAATGCATGTGTGTTTAAAAAGGTAACAAATGTTAAAGGTTGCACTCCCCTGGTTTAAATGACAAGCCAGATTTGCAAGCTGACATTTCATTATATTACGCAAATATGTGTTACCGTTTTCTGTTCCAATCATTTCAATTCTTGCCGATCCTCGAGTACATTTTATTTAATTTCACCCGCCCGCCAGGGTAGAAAGGTTGGGGACCATGTTTTTGAACCTATGACACTAGGTATAGGACATTGCACACTTGAGAAAGAAAGCGATATCTGTTTTTCGCGAGGCACGTGAAGCTGCTGCGACGTAATTGCCTAAGTTGGCGCAATTGACGTTGAACAAAAAATTGAACAAAATAGCTCATGCATTTTGACTGGTGCATCACAAATTTAAGCACTAAATTTATTGAAATATTATACAAATTAGTTTAAGAATGCAAATAGAGAATTGAAGAAATATGTATATATACTGAAAAAACGTCTACTACATGGTTGAAGGTTAACAAATGCGTAAAAATTATAACAGGCTATGTATGTATTGGTAACTTGATAGAGCACATAGAATGCCATAATTTATATGGCAATTACACGTTTTCGTATAGTGACAATCGAATCGCTTTGTGAATTGAACGAAAAATAACAGCATCCATGAAATTCAGATAATCATTTTTGTAAAAGAGCTGTGAGATATATTACACAGTTGAAAGATAACGCTAGTAATCCCCAGAATTAGATGGTGTGAAACCGAACAAAGAAAGACAAAGAATTCTTCTAGACAATAAAAAAGATGGTTCCAGCTACTAGTATTCTATGTTTAGCAATCAATGGTATTTATTACTCGAAATAAAAGGAACTATAGAAATATTTGATAAAACAAATGAAAATCAAATATCATTTCCGTAAAACATGATACATAACTTGCTAAAGATTAGTAACAGCATTAAGAAAAATGAATAAAACAAATTTGTTGAATATTTTTGAAAACAAAAAGTAAATGGTTATCCGGAATTTATGTTACAGTGTAATTGAATAGACAAAAGAAATAAAGAAGAAATATGGAACTGATATAATTTTTGAATAATTAATCCAATAAAATCATTCTCGAATCTGTTACTAGTGATGAAACGCAACCCCAGTAGTAGCAGCGATCAGTGCTTTGAATCTTTCCAACTGTTCCTTGTTGAAGTCGCAAGATTCCATTCTTAATATTTCAACATTGCATTGGTGAACAATTTCACTGATTGTAGATAATCCTTCATCTCCAAGTTTGCTGATGTTGTTTAAACTCAAATCCAAGCAGTTGATCTGAAATGATACATGTTGTTATCATATACGATAATATTTAAAAATTGATCTTTAGGTCATGGTTGCGATGCATATAAGTTGGTGTGCAACTTTGTTATTTCCTCTGAATACTTCCGGTACTTTGACTGTCAGATTAGAAAACGTAGGAAAAAGGGTCTTTTTCTAATAAAAACTTTTATGCACTCACTATTAACTCAAGGAATATGAAGAAATTACTTGAATATCACTAAGTAATTGTCCTCAGCGCTGTGAACCCGGGTTGGGAGCCGTGATGTCTTGATGGAGCTGAAGCCAAGCCTATCATCTTAGCTGGAGCTGAAACTTCCAGAAATTTTAGTGACTCCAGCTCTCACTAGTTGATTATTTCTCAAATTTATAATTTTTGTAAACTTTATACAAAAGATAAAACCTATCCTTTTTCAGTTTTAATTTTTTCAGTAGTAAATTTCTAATATTATGTTGGTCCAAATTATATGGATGTACCCCCAACAATTGACTTCAGAAAAATTCTTACTATACTTTACTATTGCATAATTTGGGATTGTTTTTGATAGATGACGCTTACAAACTGCTTTTCATGTTTAACACCATCATTTTTATTCGAAGTATTTATCCATGTGCCGCGTCTGATCGATAATTTAAGCCTAGTCTATCGCAACGTTTTCAGGAATAATTTTTGATTATTGCTCATAGAAAGCTTTAATAAAATTTAGGATATTAAATTAACAACTAATTTATGGAAATACAACTGAAAACTGACAAAATCACAAAAACGAGTAAACGTTCACAAGTCAAAACCGTGCCTGAGCTGCTACACAAATTACAAGTGTTACGTTATTGCTGACCTATTCGTGAATAGTCATTGTTACAAAATAAACAAGGAAATAAACAGCAAAATATTCATTGCATCACAGATTAAAAACCCCGCATTCTAATCCCATACTCACCAACACAGGGTGGGATAAATTGGATAGGCAATACTGAACTAGAGATATTTTTGGTCTGTCAAACTCATCAATAGCTGCTGACACAGGAATTGTTCTGGGTGGAAGGGATTTAAATTCGTCGCATGTGATAATGTCGCATAATACAGCTATGTTCTGACTTATACCAAATATATAGCCAGGTAAACAAACTCGGTTAACCTTAGCATTATAAGTGTTTTTCTTGAATGCTTTCATTCCGTCTGCCTCCAGATTGCACTTCCAAGCCCCAAATTCCTTCACCCGACATTTAGAAACTACTGCTCCAATTTCACCAAAACCCGAAGTACCAATACTATCGTTTCCTCTGATATCTAGTATATCCAACTGAAATAAAAAGATCAGTGAGCCAATCTAAATGAACTCGGTCACAAAATGTGATCTTGAAAAGTATGAGTAATAAAAAAAGCAAACCACAGAAACTGATTGTTCAAAATACATAAATTTTATATCAAGATTTCAACAGTTTGTTGTTTGGATGTAAATTTACCCCTAACAAAATCGGACACTTGATTAAATTTTTTAATTAATTATGACATATACGCTGTATGAAGAAAAGATGTTTTAATAATAAGTTTTGTTTTGTAGCATTTTGTTTAAGTTGACTTATATAAACAGTTGTTATTGCAGTGGGCGATAGAATTTCTTACCCTCGTGGACCGGCAGTGAAATTTTTGAAATGAATGAAACAGATGTACTGTTTTAAACAAAACATTTTGTTGCGAATGTCCCAACTAATATGAATATTTGTCAATGTTAATCCCGGCATCGAAAAACGTAAATTGAGGAAAATGAATAAATATCAAGTTAAGAAAATTCCGTTTCCATGTTTGGTTTGTCGATCATTCAATAATGTATTCGGTATACGCGGGAAAATCAATTATAATAACCAGAGATCTAAGTTAAAATAATTGTTTTAGAAATGACTGAAAACTGACAAATAACACGCAAAACTACGAAAACTAGGCAAGGTTCATAACCATGCTTATCATCTGTTTGAATGAAACAGGTGTCCGAGCTGCTGCACAAATTGTTATGTTATTGTTGACTTATTATTAATTGGTCATTGTTACGGAAATAAACAAAGAAATCGAAGCTCGGTAAAATATCCATTTCATCACATCTCGGATTCAACTCCCATACCCACCACCACTGGGTGTGATAAATTTGGTAGGTGATGCAAAGAGATATGTCGGCCTGTCAAACTCATCAATGGCTGCTTGTACAGAGCTTTGTTTCGAGTGTTAAGCATGAAAAAATGTCGCATAATACAGTAATGTCCAAAACATTTGTGAATTATAGAAAATATATAGATAGACAGGTTAATATATAAACTGGTCTTTGTTTACCTTGGCATTACAAGTGTTTTCCTTGAATACTTTTATTTCTTCTGCCGTCAAATTGCAATATCGAACAATAAATGTCTTCACCTGACATTGCGAAACAACTATTCCAACTTCAACAAATCCATAAGTTCCAAGATTCTCGTTTTTACTTATATCTAGTGTATCCAACTGAAATAAAAACGATCAGTGAACCAATCTAAATGTACTCAGTCACAAAATGTGATCTTGACAAAGAATGCAAGTATGAGAAAGTAAAGAAAGCAAACCATAAAACTGTTTTATCAAAAATTCAACAGTCTGTTTTTATGATGTGAATTCACCCAAACAAAATCCGATACCTCTCCAAAATTTTTCTACTTAATTGAGACATATATACTGTCAGGGGAAAAAGGCTTCTTAATAATTAAGTTTTTCAATTACCAAAAATCAATTTTGTTAAATTGTATTTAAAACATATTAGCGTACAAAAAATGATGTCGTTTCTTTTTAAAGAGGCATTTTGTTTAGTTTGACGTATATCTAGAGTTGCTAATGCAGTGGGCAATAGGAATGCATTGCCAATACATAAAACCTCCCCATCAAACAAGAATGAACAGTCAGTCAGATATATAAGCATGACTGTCATTGCATGGATAGAGCACAGAACAGTAGTACTTTTACTTCGGCGTACCAGCAACACCAAATAATAGGGCTCACAGACAGAAAGACAGTCAAATTTTGGAAATGAATGTAATTTTGTTTTAGGAGTTCACAAATGACTAAGAATGTCCTGTGGTGACCAAAGTCATTGCACTGGTATTGTCATCAAACAACCCATAAACTGTTTGTTATAGGAAGACATGCTTGTTTTATATCAATGAATGACCAGGTATATGGTTAACCTGTTTATTACCTTGGTATTGTGAGTGTTTCCTTTGAATGCTTTTATTCCTTCTGCCTCCAGATTACAAGCACGAGCAAAAAGTATCTTCACTTGACATTGTAAAACAACAGATCCAACTTCACCAAAACCAGAAGTGCCAAGATTGTTGTTCTCACTGATATCTAGTGTATCCAACTGAAATAAATAGGATTAGTGAACCAATTTATATGAAATCGGTCACTAAATGTGATCTTAACAAAGAACAATGTATAAGAAATGAGGAACACAAATTGATTGATCGAGAAAAACAAATTTATTCAGAATTCAACAGTCTGTTATTTTGATGGAAATTTAGTCCAAACAAAATCTAATAGCTGGTTAAAATTTTCCTAGTTAATTAAAATTTTTAAATTGCATGAAGAAAAATTTTCATAATATTCAAGTTTTTCAAATACTAATTTTGACCAATTTTGTTGAATTCTATTGAAATAACATTCGCATACAAAAAAGGGGTATTTAAATTTTTCAAGAGTCATTGCGTTCAGGTTGATCAAAATATTTTGTTGCGTAGGACCGATTAAACACCAACTAATATAATTATTCACCTCAGAGTTAATCCCGGCACCGACATGCGTAAATTAAAGACAGTGGATCAAAATGGAGTTTCGGGAAACTCCGTTTCAATGGTTGATTTTGCAGTCAATCAATATTGAATTTGGAATAAACAATTTTAGCAAATCATCTATTACCACCAGAGATATGAGTTTAAATGAGTTTTTTATTTTGCATACAGGTAAATTTAACAACTTTTTAATAAATGAAGAAATTCCGAGCTGAGGTTTCTTTCAGGCTCAAAATGGATGTTTTGAAATTCTGTTCACAAACATTGTCCCTTAAAATTAGCCAATACGTTTATTCACTGTTGGTCAAAATTTTGACAAATTTTATGAGATATTTCTCAGGTGTTATATCAAGACATGGTTGTGTCCAATGCACGGCCAAATATGTGAGTTAGCCTGCATATCACCTTGGCATTACGAGTGTTTTCCTTGAATGATTTCATTTCTTTGGCTGTCAGATTGCAACTCTTAGCTTTGAGTGCCTCCACACGACATTGTGAAACAACTAATCCAACTTTACTAAAACCAGCAGTGCCAAAATTCTTGTTCGAACTGACATCTAGTTCATCCAACTAAAGTGCAAAAGAAATCGGTGAACCAACCAATCTGGTAGTAATCGGTCACAAAAGAATTTCATTAGATAAAAAAGAGGTATGAGACATTCGGACAGAAAATATCTCACAAAAATGATCGACCGGTATAAATATATAACGTTTATTTTATGCCCTAAAGTGTATAAAAGGCTGTTTCTTTTATAAAAGTTTTTTTCAAACAAATTCAAGCACACACATATTTATCATCACATCGGTGATTAAAGTGCCTGGTTCCAATTCATGTCGTAAAGGGTCATTATGAATGTGCAACAGGATTGGTGGATATTGTATAGTAGATTGAATGAATGCAGAGCAATCACAGCTTCATTAATCAATTTTTCTTGGGAATTTACGAATACTCTGTGGCGACAAAGTCATTGCATTGATATAGCCATTGAACAATTCATATGCTGTTTTGTTGCATGGCCATATGTAAGTTAACTTGTATGATATCTAAGTTAATTTTTCAATTTATAAATAAGTTGTATATTTTCTTTAGGAATTTATCATTCTGTATGGTGTTCACGCCAATCCAGAATTTATTAACTGCTAACGAATAGAATATCAAATAAACGTTCTAAAAAACTGGAAAATACAAACTAAAAATATATTTCATATTCGAGCTGAGGAAGGAGAGTGAGTTAACCTTTTGCCCTTTTTCTTTATGTTTTTCCGTTTTGTTATTCTACATGTTCACTAATTTTAAGGCGTAAAGTACACAATAACGATCACAGAATTGAGTTTTATTCAAAGGCATCATTCTTTTTTTCGTTAACTGCGCCGTGAGTTTTTTCCCTGATAATTTGGCACCGCACCGACAAAAATTTTGGTAATCTCTGGATTATTTCGTTATCATATTCCCAGCCTCAATGAATATGGTACAGACCTTTCCACAGACTTTCCATTTACTTAATTCAAATATTTGATCTTTCGTTGCTTTGAACTTTTTCCATGGGTCCATCAGAAGTTCTTTGACCTCATTTTTACTTGCAAACTTAGATATTGCAAGAAATAGGTCGAACGTCATTCCAGTTATGAATCGAATATCCAGAGTGCAAATCTATCAAAACAAATAGGACTACCTGAGAAAATATCAAAAATCTTTGAAATTTTCTATCAACTTCAGCAATCTGCGGAACATTATGATTACTCTTGGAAGCCTAAATCTCAACCAACAAATTGTGAAATTTGCAACAAAACAAAGCAAGATTAAAATTGATATTCTGTAACGTAACACGATTTGTTAGCTGTATAAGTAACACCATCAGGATTCAGATGGTCCAAGAGAAAGCCAGCTACAAGGGATGTTTCCACTGAGTGTAAACATGATCGGGTTATTGCTAGACTTTTGCGGACACTTTTTTATAAGCAGCTTTTACCAAATAATACCAATGAAATCACCGCTAACGCTAATAAGAGAGGGTGAAATTTAAGGGGAAAAGATCAATTTCATATTGTTTACATCGCCACCTAATTAGCAGGAGGAATGCTGAATAGAAAACTTCTACGGATATACTTTACAGAATATTATGCAGCAATAAAACTCGAAACCTGTAACCCTGAGTGACGCCCGAGAGCGTCTACTTTTTCTTTTGTGAGTTGGCAATTTTGCATTTCAAGGCGAAGAACTTTAATCTTTGTTGACAAAACAGAACCAAGAGCATTGAAGCCTATTTCATCCATTGGATTTTCACTGATATTAAACCTAGATAACTGAAACACAGATAAATAAATGAACTTTAAGTATCAATAAGATTACATATCTCAATCATATCCAAAAGTTTTGTCACAGATATGACTGATAAAGTGCGGCTCCTGGCTCATCGAGAAAAGTAATTTCGTGCACAAAAGTGGTTGTTTGTATCGACTCTAGACATAATACCGATTAAAAATGTTTTGCTATATTCTTTGACAACGTGAGAATCTTTCTGTGTTTATAGATAATACAATGAGTATTATTTGTCAATTTTTACACTTTTGTCATACTGCAAAAGAGTTCAAAAGTTCATCATAATATGTTTCGGAGTGTTACCTTCAATAAACGTTTATACCCTTCAAGCTATAAAATTATGCATAAAACTACAGAGACTCTTCCAATATCAAACATCATAAAATTTGCTTTTTATTTGTGCATTTTCCAACTTAACAACGGAGCAACAGTTGTATAATATAATCCTTTGTCATACCTTTAATCCAGAATGACTTCCGAGAGCATCAAGTTTTGCTTTCGTTAGTCGGCAATTTATTGCAATGATTTCGTCAACTTCATACTTTGATAAAAAATCACTTAAAGCAACAAAAGATTCTTCGTCCATTGGGTTTTGACTGATATCAACGGTGGATATCTAAAAGCATAAAGATAACGCAATATCATTGCACCAAAGGCTGATTGATTTTCCAATACACATCAACGCTACAAATCAAATTGTCGGAAAACAGTGAAACATAATAATGATAAGACTCAACTATATGCAATCCATATATGGCCAACAAGAGTAAGAGTTGAACCATGTATGTCTGAAGAAGTCTGACCTTGGTCAGACGAAACGTTACAGAAATATATTTGTGTTAGTGTGCAGCAAGACTCTTGAATCACTTCGGGTTATTATCTCTACTCTTGCTACAGTATCTATGCAATATATGCATATGAATCCACCGGCACAAAAGAATAGAAGAAGGATAAGTAGTTAGTCTCGCAGAAACCAAATAAACAGTGAGAAATACCACAAATGATGAGACACAGCTATATTCCAGCTACAATGGTTCTTAACCTTTTTTTGCATATTTTTCCCCCTTTATCAAACAAAATTACAAAATTTACCACCGATACAGTCATTGATGATCTTTTATAAAAAATTTGTCATGCGAAGTATTAAGAGCTTCAACTTTAGACGCGAAGTATCGGGAGGAAGTAACAGTGGGGCAAGAGGGAGGGGGAGTTCTTCTTTCTCATGACATTTTGTTTCAACAAATTCTAGTGTGCTATTTTTGCGACTAAATTTAATGTAATAGTTAAAATAACAAAGAACTCGCTTTATTTAAAAGGTGTTGGTTATAATTCCGGTGAAAATATAAGCCTGCGGATAATAATAGACTAATGCTGATTTCATAAAACTTACCAATAACACAACGTTTCTCGCAACAAAACAGGAAATCAGATGTGGTTATTGTTTACCATTCTGAACATTTTTTTACAATGATAAAATTTACCCCTAAGAATGGAGAAATTTACATCCAAGGGTAAATTTACCCCAGGTTTAGAAATGCAGATCTACATAAACTTTGCAGAACCAAAACTATAAATATGGGTTATGATGCAGAAAAATGTCCGTGGTCTTGTTAACACGTCGTACTACCATTTGTAAAGCCCCACCAATATTGAGGAATAATACCAAATAAGCAAGGATGTCCCACACAATTAGTTGTGACAGATTTTGCCGTGCATATTAGAGAAAAGAAAAAATATTTTACAGTAAATATTATAATACACACCTCGCCACAAAATTTGTAATCGCTTAATTTCTTTATCTGCTCTTTATTTGCTTTGGATAAATCTAACGAATTCATTAGAATTTTCTTGACTCCATTTCGACTTGCAAACTCAGATATTGTAAGAAATAGATCACATGGCATTGGGCTGATGAATTGAACATCCAAAACATTGATCTGAAAAATATTGTATCTATTTATAAACTACAAGTGTAAAGGTTCTTTGAATTTGGAAATTCATGGGTATCAATTTTTTTTTATTTATCATTGGAAAATTGTCAATACCGATAGATAGTATGCAGTAGGTTAAGGAGGTTACTGTAAATGTTAATGGCAGGTCTCTTGCTATTTGTTGTAAAACGTAGGGCTCTCCAGAAGTGTGTATATCAATCTGGAGGTAACTAATTTTGTTCGCCTACTTTACATCAAGTTGTGCAAAGAGACTGAAACATATGTGCAGGGGGTATATTCACTTGGCTAACTCATTTCGTGACCAGATCTGAAATACCGGGCTCAATAGATACCGGGTAAATAGAATTAAGAAACACACACATACGGAGACATTTTATATGCGTTCATGTTTATTTCTTATATTACTGACTCATAAACATGATAGATCGTATCGAGAGTGTCATCATTAAGACGATTTCTGTGTGTTTTGGCAAAAAATCGCAGAGTTGAATATGCACGCTCAGTCTCAACTGACGTAGGTTTGATTGTTTTTAGTGCGTCATATAACTTTTACATGTTTTCTGGTCTTTCCCCGCTTGTCTCATATAGCAGCGTTTGGGCTCTTAGTTAAATTTTGACGAATTAGGTATTTCATGTGAAATACCAACGCAGATGCGTCGCAATTTTTTTCCCAAAATCATAATGCGTTCGAATTTGAAATCGAAGGCAGTCCACAACTCTCGGATTCCATTCGAAGAGAGATACTCATAAGCTACGAATTTATGTGTGTAAGGGGTCTGTGCAACATATGTAATGTGTTTTATATTTAAACATTTTGGAACTTGGCCAATTTATCGGCAGATGGCATTGTTTCAGATGCATGATCTCCGATCTGAAAGAGCTTAATACCGGGATTATATTCAAAATAATCGCGCGATCGGGAATTTCTGGGATCACGACACTAGTACACACACTACGGGAAACCAATAAAACATAAAAATAGTAAACAACTCATAGCCCCAACCTTACCCAGGGTGTAACAAATTTCTGTGTTATTTTTCTTGCATCCTACGTGCTATTGTTTGACGTAATCAAAGTCCTAGGACCCCTCTAAACTCAGTTGTAGAGGGCTTATGTCATTTAGTCGAGGGCTTTGGACATTGCTTTGACCAAACTTGCAACTTATTTTTATTAGAACTCTTTCTGCTTTTAGTTGAGGACTAGGGACCTCCTTGCTTTGGGCAAATTAGCAACTACGCTCTTAGTTAGGAGCTTGGAACTTTTAGCCTGAGCAAATTTCAACTCTTCTATCAGAACTGTTGAGGACTCGGACCATGTTTTGATCAAACTTGCAACTCTTTTATCAGGAATCATTCCGATTTTACTTTATGACTCGAAACCTTGCTTTGAGCAAACAATTTCACCACTTATTAATATAGCTGATTTTCTTAGCTGATGGTTTTATTGTAGCGTAAAAGCATTTGAATAGTCTTGCTATATTAATTCAATTGTGTTCAACGTAACTTGCGATTGCGTCCACTTATAACAAAATAAAAGCACTATCAATTAAATATAACTATTACAAAGGTGTCGGACTTAATTTACCTTTCCACAAATATTCCATTTATTCAGTTCCAGCAGCTGATATTCGCTTGCCTTAAAGCAGTCCCAAGGATCCATCAAAAGTTCTTTGACACCATGTTCAGATGCAAACTCAACAATTGCATGGTACAGATCAAACGTCATATTTGTATTATTTCTAACATCCAGAACGGAGATCTGAGATAGGTAAAATTTCTTTATTCGGTTGATAAGAATACAATACCTCATGATAACTAAACCAGTGAAACTTGACTTGAGATTTATCCAAGGTAATCTCTCCGTGAATACTCTAATCTAATGTAAAAACTAATAAACACACTCATACAACCACCATCGCAACCATGGTGCAAACAAGTCGAGTAGACAGTGCTGAGAAGGGAAGACCTCAGTTCTTTCAAAAAACGTTGCTCCTTTCACATCAGTGGCGCCTTATACAGAGCCTTGTTCACGTGAAAGCCACAAAAAAGCATCGTGTGAGAAAAACAATAATAAAAAAAATACCCGTTGAAATGATATGAGTACTAGATGCAGGCCATAATGTTTTAATACTGTTAATACTAATAAATTTTTTTTTTTTAAAAACTATACAGTCAAAGATTGCAAGATGGGTTCTCTTTTCAGGTGAGCCATAGATGGGCGTGAAACAACACTAAGATTGGTTAGCCAGTTGAGTGGTTATGAGTCATTTCAAATATTTCAGATTTAGATTACCTTCCCGCGAACTTTCCATTTACCCAGTTCCAACAGCTGCTCTTTGCTTGCCTTGAAGCAATCCCAAGGATCCATCAAAAGTTCTTTGACATCGTGTTCAGATGCAAACTTGACAATGGCAAGATACAGTTCAAACGTCATGTTTGTGATATTTCGAACATCCAGAACGTGGATCTGAGATTTGAAAATCCCTTTATTAAGTTGATGAAAATACAATACCCCACATTAAATAGACTAACTAATCATATATTGGAAGATCCTTTCTTGCGAATGTTGAAAGAGTTTACTCTACATGTTAAAGCAAACTTAAATAATAAAAAACCGAGCAATCGTACTAACACAAAAAATCAATGATTGAGAAATTGAAATAATAAACTATCTAAAATTCATATTTTGACCTGTGTATGGGCTGGACGTCCAAGCACACGAATCTTTTCTTCTGTAAGTGAACAGCCATGCATAACGAGTTTTTCCACTACAATGTTTGTTAAAACTGAACCAAAGACATCAAAAGCTTCAACGGACATAGGATTTAAGCTGATATCAAATTTCGACACCTGTGAAGATACAATACAAATCGACTAAATGTACTATAGTTTAATTGATGGATACGTTTCATCTCAGAATGTGCAAGTCATGCGTATTCTTTTGTAACGACTTTTGTAACGATATAATGTTAATAAAGTTCTATACTAAACACTTGCCTGCATTTTAGGACCTCTCAAGTTGAAGTCAAAGTTTTCTAACAATTCTGCGTTGAGCTCACAATTGACGAGGCGAACTTGTTCAAGACGGTCACAGCGTCGCATGACAGATGACATTGCGCACATCCCTGCCGCAGTGAAAGACTCGTCTTCGAAGTTGATTTCGTGAATATGTGATCGAATGAGGTCGGCATCATTCGATTCATATAATGCAGCAAATAACTCCAACTTCTGATAGGATCTCGTACATTGATTTATCATAGTTGTGAGTGCACGTTTGAGACAATTTTGCTTTTCTCGCCTGGCCCCTGATAAAGAAAAATTTAAATAAAGTTTAAAATAAAAAAAAGATTAAAAGGGGGTTCACATATTTATCTTTGGGGGGAGTAAAGCCTATAATATGGCTTATTCATATCACAAATCACGGCACTTCGTCCTTTTACTAGTGTATTGTTTGTTATGGTAGAGACGTCCCTAGCCAATCATATGTTCCGTTATCAACCCAGTCATCTCGAAGAGTAGCTTATGGCGCAATATGTTAAATTTAATTTACTTAATAACTCAAACGTCTTAATTGCACTTACCAGCTGTCTGATCTTTAATGATTTTTTTAATTTTTTGATTGAAAAGAGTACCACACAGGAGTCGTAGAACAACAGACCAGTGATCTTTGTGGATCTCGTTAGTGACGAATGCTTTGAAAGTTGCCAAGTCCATGATGTTGGCAATGTACAGAGCAGATAAAAATTCTTGGAGGATTTGATGACTGAAGAACATCAGAGTGTCTCCTTCCAAAAGACGTTGATTCACCGGTGTACCGCGTCCAGGTACTTCTATGATTAGATCGCGTATCATTTGTTTAGTAAGTTCTGCATTCTCCAGATCGTCATTGTTAAAAATGACTCGCTTTTCGTTAGTGCCTTCAAAGGACATTCTCATCAAATTGTGAAGAACAGTTATAATACTTTTCTCTTGAGTGTGTGAGGAATGCATAAAGATATCTAGCACTTGTGTCATTACATCAGTCATTGTATCAGGTAGATTCTTTGGATTGGATTTATGAACGATCGCGTTGAAAATCAAGAATAAGGGGACCGAAGATAATGGCACAAGTGTAGGTGACTGCAATGTCATCTTATTCCAGGATTCTTCCCCTGTTTTACCTACAATAGCAGTAAATAGTTTTTTGGCGTCATTCCGTTCAAGGCCAGCAAGAGCAATAAATAATTGAGGTCGCAGCTTTAAAGGAAGGGATGCCATCCCGTGTTCACGTGAAGAAATAACTAATCTTATATTGGGGAACAAATTGCCAGATAAGAGGTTATATATAATTGTGGCTGTACTTGACTTATCAGTATATTTCATATTGTTATAATTTCCCTCTAGATTCCATGTAGCCTGATCCAGGCCATCAATAAAAAAAATTGCCTCTGATTGGTGTTCCTGAAGCCATGTATATCCCACTCTCACAGTTTGATCATATATATCTGATATGGGTGCAAATTTTCCGAAAAGCAGTTCACATGGATCCAAAGCATCTTCTGGTGTTAAACCACGGGAAACATAAAGGTCTCTAAAATTCAAGTAATGCACGAACTTGAATCTACTTTTTTGTTCCCTGAACAACCTAGCGAACAATCCCATTTTTGCGTTAGATTCGTTATCCAGTCCATTAGCGACAAGAACGCCTTGTGCAGTACGTTTCATCGTTGTCGTCTTGCCACCTCCGGCTTGCCCTACAAGTCCCACGCATCGGCAACCTTCCCCACAGAGCTGTTTGACTAAATTTTTTGGTGAGATCACTTCCACTTTGCCAATGTTTTCGTTCGTATTTGTGACAGCGAATTCTTGTTCTCTCCTGTACTCTGTGATATCAGGTGCAATCTGGCCACTGTAAAAACCAGTCACTTTGTTTAACTTGGGATTTACCTCAAATTCAGGTTCTTCCAAGTCGTGATCCTTGTAGCTTTCTGTAACATTGACTTCTGTTTGCTTCCCTGTTCTCCCATTGAAATAATCAATAAATCTTCTCACAATTAAACCTGAACATAATAATCTTATAAAGGTTTTGAATAAAAGGAGACTATAAGTTAGATGTTATAAGATAATATATTAGTCAGTGATTGTTTACCAGAGCTACTACTTTTTGTTTAATTCTGTAGCATTAGCTCAGGGTTGGCTAACCAGTCAGAAACCAAGAGCCGCATTTTGTACTTTATTACCGCGAAGAGCCACATTGTAAACAAGAACACACATGAACATCAGATATATATACCTTCCTTCGGATCTGCTAGAATGCTAATTTATTGTAAATGTCACTAACCAACATGATTGTGTCGGAAATGTACAAGCCATTTATTGTTATGCAAGCTATTTAGTGAGACTTCTATCATTTCTTGGATTGAACAAGCCTCTCTAAATTTGGCTTCTATGTCAATCAGAACAGATCAATGCTTTGATTTCATGTGTTTCGGGGTAGAAAACACGGATTCGCAGACGCATGATGACCGAAACATTGACAATATCTTACGCGCAGCTCGTTGGACATTGGGGTATTTTTCCATTGGCATGCTTTTTCATAACTCAATGGTCCCTTCCCGTAAAGCAAATTCCAGTTGGTCTTCCTCATAAAGATCGAATATCTTCAACTCAGTTGCAGCCGCATCTGAGACTAGGGGGAATTTCAAACAATTCGTCAAACGGATGGCTGTTTACGTCAGTTCGATTTCTTCACTCAAATGGTAAACCGCGCGTTTGCCGCCGAAATACGTTTTCGATACGATTTACGACAGCCGTTATAGTGCAACAAACGCGTCTTACAACAATGAATTGGATTGTGATGTAATAATGGACGGTTGCATGTTGAGTGAATGAAGGGGTTCATGTATCTTCGACGTAAAAAATAATGCACGAGGAATCATAATATGTTTAATCGAAACATGATGAATCGTAGTTTGCAAGTTATTTTGTCCTCAAAACAACAAAGGCGAAGAGAGCAGCATGAAACCGGAGCAAGAGCCGCATGCGGCTCGCGAGCCGCGGGTTGGCCACTCCTGCATTACACGACTTAATCATTTAGCGAACCATGGCCTATCGTCCGCCAGTCGGTGTCAGGTATAGAATAATAAGCCAGTTATTTGTTGGAGGAAGCTGTAATCGACCAGAAGTTATGTGAACCACCCTACGGGGGCAAGGAGTCCAGCAAAACTCTCGCACATGACTATCCCGCATGGGATTCAACCCTGCAAACCCATAGATGGTAATCAGAAGTGCGATGGCGAGCGTTTTCCTAACGCTTAGCACAATGCGCCACACTGCCGAGCCGAGATCAAATAATTTGATGGTTATTTCGATCTTCCAAATAGTTTTAGTTTAGTCGCAGTAATTGAAAATTAGTCAAAAAAAGCTGCGATATGCTAGAATAAGACTAACTCGCAGTGCTCTTGATTGAAAAAAGACTAATCATCCAGATTCAAGATTATGGTTATGAAACACGTAAACCAATTTGTAATCGTCAACTGACAAAAACAGTCAAATCGGTCGACTAAAACTATTTTATGGTAAAGTATAGGAAAGAGTTTTCTAGGGTCAAGGGTCGGGAAACATCTATCAAAATACAAAAGTTTCAAAAATAACAAAGAATTTTGTTTGTAAAAATCATGAATGGCAAATTTATCGACAACGAAAAACACGATATAAAATTGCGATAAAATGTCCTGTGTCTGGTTTCCAGTAATTGTAGGCCGTAGAGTATGGAAATAATTGACACATTATTTATTTCAGATGCCTAAACTTAGTGGACGAGTACTTATTGGCCAGTAGTTGACTTGTCAATAGGTAGCAGGGATTTTTTATTCATTCAGAATTTTAATAATAAATTTAGGGTGCTCACCTCCGAAAAGTTTCCCAATAGCTTGCCGGATAACGCCTGAAAAAATAGACATACAGTGTAATGATATATTTACAATAGTTTGTAGAGGCAAAACCATGAAATTTGTTTGTTATCGACTTTTTCAGATCCAAGCTATATAAAAATAATTAATAAATGAATGCCGCTCGTCTTAACCATTTAATTTTCTATTTATTTTTAAGATCGTGATGTGGTTACATAGAAGAATTGCGTTTAAGTTGGAAGATTCGGATAAGTACACTCGTTAAGTAAAAATTAAATTGAAGTGTTTAACAACACATAAATGACACAAATAAATAAACAAACATGACGCGTACATATTTCACCTTTTATATATTACTCCTGTGAGTTTATCTTGTAGACACAATTAGGGAGTAGTTACTAAAAGTTTGTTGAACCTAGTAAAGTTAAACGTTTTTAATTCGCCAAAACCTACCTGGTGAATTTCCTTTATACACAGGAGCAATTGCTGTGCCAGTATCTGACAATGGCTGAGCAGGTTTTCCAGTTGGGATTGATGATGTAGAAGGTTGGGAAGAAGCTGCATCTGCAGAGAAATTAATATTTGTTCACAAAAGTTGAAATATTTCACCATATAGTGAGAATTGTCAAAATGCAGTTTTTGATCAAATCAGAAAAATCTGGATTATGTTAGTGGCCAGCTAGTAACAAGGTTACAGCATAACAACGAAATCTCTGTCGCGAGATTCCAACCGATCAAATAGGAGTGATTAATCCCTAGCCAAGATCTAATACTTTGTAATCAAATTCAGCAGGCAAATGGGTTGAGATGTTTCTTTTAATCAAGTTTGATTGAATTTAATTACCTGTATTTTCTACTTTGATGGTGACAGGGCCTTCAAAAATTGTGGTTGCTACTTGCCCTTTAGTTATCGTTGTTTCACCTGAAAATTCACATGAAGATTCTTTGAGTATAATTTAAGGAAAAAGATTATAATGTAGACTTCGATGATCATTATATTGTGTAAGCAGAAAATATTTCAATTAATTTTAAACAAATAAGTAGATTAAACAGTTCAACAACTTACAAACCATACAATTGGTATGATGAGACATATTGTCAAAAAATCGATTATTCTATAATTCGCTCAGGTTTAGGGATATTATGACCTCCCTAGGATGTCTGAGAGATATTTCCTATTTCTGTAAACACAAAAAAACTATAACCGAAGGGTGCGATGTATGAATATCAAATTAAGTGCTTACGTGAAGCCATGTGAACATTTGAAGTAGCAATACTAGCCGTGATACTTTGTTCGGTTTGCAGTAATGTTGCAGAACCTGAATAGAAGATTGATGCTCTCACAAATTAAAATATAACATCAGTGAAAAAAGTAGACCATGTCAAATCTGCGACTATGAACAACGCAGCTGATCAGAGAAAGCCAATTATTTTTTCAATATAATAAAGAAAGTCCATGTCCAATTCAAGTCAATGATTCCGAAAACTATTATCTGGCTAACTAGTCCCATACCCAACTTGAACTGGTAACCGGACGAGTGGCCGTGGTTTGTCATATGATTAAGCCGTCTTATCGGCTTCTCTCTCCCCGAGATAAATAGGTAAATCTTAAGTCATAGCGTGTTATAGCGTTAAGTCATAGCGTGTTATAGTTCAAGGAAGATCTGACACATTTTATGTTGACTAAATGTAGCAATTCGGATTTCAAACGAATGGAAACCAATGAAAATATCGGAACAAACTATAAATGCACTCACCTACCACACGACAATCATGATTTCTAATTTCTAGGTCAGCACTGCTTTGATCTGAGCTCTGTGAATGCGATTCAGAGCCTAAAATTGAAAAAGAAAGATTAAATTTTGCAAATATTCAGCTTGGGGGGAAACTTTTCAACACTTATTTGGTCATTAGAACTTAACAACAAATTATTTAGAAAACGAATATCAGGATTAGGACTTAAGAAACTTAACTGTTCCATTTAAGATTGAATAACAAATGTAATGAAATATTTTTGTTTAGTAGATAAGAAATTAAAAATTTAAACATACGCTGAATTGGGAACGTGTGAGCCAAAGAGATTGGGTATCACAGCATTACTGCCTACTAAATAAATACTGAATCAAAACTTCATTAGAACTTAGAAGCTAAAAAAATGAATCAGGTATTCATGTTATCCAAGGTGTTATTATTGAACAATATGCATAATTCAAATCGATCAATAAAATTAAAGAAAATTCAGGTATTCGCGGAGAACATGCTCGTTATAAATCAGTCACAGAAGGTCTCAATGTAGGGTCGGAAAAAGCACAAAGAGAAGAATAAACCTTTAAAGAAGGAAGCCCTGCTAGATACATTAGTTGGCATATACCAAACATGAGTCATTGATATCGAATCATGTTGATGTGTTGTGCATGTTTGTCAAAGAATATTACATCTGTCAATCACTCCCTAATATAACTAGAACAGGCAAACTTCTATGATTACCCAATTTATGATAAAGAACATGATAATCTCTGTTTATTATATATAATTAAAATACTCAAACTGACTGGTACGTCCAGCTATCAAGGACGCAGAACAATCATTTTGTTCTATATTAAACAATACTATCTTATATGTTTGTTATATGTGTTTACCTAATTACCTTATAAAGATATAAAATGGAGTGCAAGTAAACACAACTTCTTATCTTACTGACATGGAGAATTGATTACTGAGGTCATTAGTTGAGATATTAAAAACAAGCTGAGTACTGAAGTTTCAATTATCTATTAAAAGCAAACACATTTCAGGGTATTTTTTTATGCCTTCAAATTATAGTTGATTGAAATTTATATCAATGAATGCTGGGGACCAAACAAAATAATTTAATATATGACTTTTTAACATAAATACTATCTTAATGAAGGAAATTAATGTATATTTATAAACGGAAATTTTAAAAACGATAAAAATTGGATACTATGTTTTTGAGACTTTGTTTAACCAGTCCTAGAATGGAACTGAAGTCTAAAAATAAACATATTATATTAAGTAATTATTCCTTGGTATTTCTTTCCATAAACAGTAATTTAGGAGTCTCACCCTACGCTAACACAAAAATATTTTTGTAACGTGTTGTCTTTTCAAATTCAGACACTCCGGGACAAACATAGAAGGATGCTGTGAAAAGAATATGAATGACTATTCTTAAATGATTTAAAATAAATAATACACACACTCTCATGTTAAATAATATGTAACAAAATATTGTTCAATATTACTCCTGCTGATTACTGCCATACTGCTAGTTAGCATAACAAGATACTGTTGAGCATCTTATATTTTTTCATCAACCGTTCACACTTTTACTCTTAGGCGGTGTGCCCACCAATATTTAGAAACTTCGACCAAAAACTCAAACCATTATGGCATCTTGTCGGTTGGCGCGTGTATTTTAATTTAACAATAAGTGTTGAATGTTACCATTTATGGGATGGATTTTTATTTGATAAGAAACTTGACGGTCAAACCGAAGTTTTTTAGCTGATGAATATTAAGCATTCAGGTTGGTATCAAAACGTAACATTCTAAAATATATATTATACAATGACTTTCTCGCTAGGCTGACATCCACAAAGTAAACTATGTTGAGACTGAATCATGTTGAAGTGTTGTTCATACCTGACCAAACAGGCTTGTCCATGGGACATATTTTTCTGTCCCATTCTCATCCCATCCCATAGCAAATATGCCTGTCCCCTCCCATCCCATGGGATTCCCGTTGGAATACAATTCAATAAAAATTGTTAAATTTAGGTTTAACGTCTACTAAATAAGACTGCATTTACAAAGAGACATGCAAAGCAACAAAATTCACGGTCTTTGTTAACTTTATATTCATAACTTTTATACATGTGTCCATCAGCCCCTTCACGAAGTATATTGTTAATGCTGAATATATTTTTCTCATTATAAATAACAAGAGAGCTATGCTCAAATATATGGACACGATGTCCATAACGAAATGTTTTAACAACCTTTTCCCCTAAAATCATACGGTTTTCGTGTCTCATGGGAAATACAAATGTGTGCTGTCCCATTCCATCCCATGGGACGTTTCCCATGATAATCCCATTCCCGTTGACAAGCCTGTGACCGAATGATACTACATCTATGCATTTTTAGAACTTGTGTGAATAATAACTTTTAATGATTCTGCAATTACGAAGACTAGTATTTCATTCAATGTGAATATAATATGTGGAAGATTTTTCGCCCTTTCTCTGTATTATGCAACATTATCTGATCTTGTGACCTCAATTACAATATAAAAGTATGAAGTGACAAGAAAGTAAAAACAAATCTCATCTCAATGACCCAAAACAAACTGGTATTTAGGTCTTCACTCACAGCGTTGAGTCCGGTCCGCCAAATATATTCCAATATAAATATTTTATAAGCAAATTGAGAAATACAAATTATTGATGGAATGTTCAATATTTTGTGATTTTTTAATTCCTATTGGTTCGTATTACCGGCATTCACCCAACAACCAAACTTGGGGAGAGTTCCTCTTCCCACTTCAAGCCCTGAGCGGCTGGACGTTCGTTGAGTTTATGACCTCAAAATGGCGGTCAACGTCATAATGGAAGATTTTGATAATACGTTACCTGTTAGTGACTTTTGCAGTTGGCCTATGATTTTACAAGACTTGATAGTAAAATGGAGGTAAACAAACAGCAAGGTAGCCTATTATTCAGTTCAAACATCCCTACTTTGTCTTGCAGAAACTTCATTCGAACCGCGTTCAACACGTATAATATCAAAAAGACAGCAGCAACTTTATCACTAAATTGGATTGTATTCTTTTGCACCGCCTACTTTTGTCGTAATTGCATTCTTTTAATTACGCTTTGTGTTTATGACATTTTTGCTTGAATTGATTGAAGGTTTGAAGGTTTTTTGAAGGTCCGCCGGTCCGCAAAATTTGTTTTGAAATTTTACCGGTCCGTGAACTGAAAAAAGTTTAGAACCACTCACAGTATATTATATAATTATACATGTATCCAGGTGCGCAGCCAAAACTTTGGAATTGGGGGAGGGGTGGTCATGAATCGAGATTTTCATTCCCCTCTGAAACAATTGCCGCGATTACGTGCTCGTTAGGTCAGCCGACTTTTTCAGCGTATACCGACTTTTCTGTCGCGTAAAATTTATATTATTCTTGCCAGCTACGAGAATATAAAGTTCCTTTCATATTAATATATTTGTGTCCAACACCACTCGTTCAACTTTTCTGTTGCGCAAAGTTCTCAATTCATGACCGATACAAATGCTTTTAACATTTATTTATTTTATTAATTTTATTGTCTGCAATTTATAACCGTTAGCAAATCTGCTGTAAAATCTCGCGGAATAAAATTTATTTTTTACAATAAAATTTGATTCAATATCCTTTAGAATAATTATGATATATATCTTCACAATCCTGGGAAAAGTCGCGTTTCCATACGTAAATCATATCCTTTCCGCGCACAATTGACTGTTTCAATTGCATATAAAAGTAAGACTTGCAAAACAACGCCAACCAAACGTAATGTGTGATATTTTGCAATGAAGAATGCTTACAGAAACGTCTTTAATCTGTTCCCGGATCATACGACTTCTTTTGTTTTCGATTTTATTTTTAATATTTTATATTGCCGCTTTCCAATCAAAAAATTTGCGTTGCGGATTTACTATGTTTGTCTTCAGCATCTCGCTACGGATGAACGTATGAAGCTATCACTGAATTCACAATTCTGTGCGATTGCAAAAAAATAAATATCGTCGTTGTCGTGGCATAAGACATACTTATGTTTGTGATTTAGGAAAAATAAACACCGAAGTAAATGTGCTTACGGCCTTAAACTCTAAATATCATATCACGCTGACGGCAACGATCGGCGATTTTTGTGAAATGCAATTGCACGCGATATCAGGGACATTTTCAGACATCCAAAAATTCTGAGGGCGTTCGACTCCGACCATACACCCTCCTGGCTGCGCCACTGCATGTACTTTTATTTTGACATTCACTGTGGAAGAATCGCTACACCCAACATGGGAAAACTACGGCCAGAGCATAACTTTATCCAGCTGGCCTGATACTGACGCAGTAAAACTAACTCCAAAACTTGATGTGTTAACTAAAAAATAGCTTATAAGTAATTTGTTGAGATTGCAAATAAATTTAGTTTTAGCAAGAGTTATATTGCTTTCCACTTTTGATTTCGTAACACTGTTCACAAATATCGTTCACAGGTGTTGCCAGAATCATCTGAGGATTAATTATCAGAGGTTCCCATTATCAAGCATGATCCATATATGATTCAATTCTTCCAGAACACATTATTACATTCATGCATTTCTGAAAATTCAGTTATCCTCAGAGGATGTTAAATATTGAAACTGGTGTGTGCGAATGGTGTTAATTTAAGCATTACTGGTGATTCCTGGTGATGCTGAAGTTGGACGAAAATTGAAATATTATTTTCTTTTGTTTTAGTAAATACTCAAACCGGATATATTTATTTCATTTCATGAGTGATACATAGACCAGCGTTTCCAAACATTTTCAACCTGGCGGACCGGTAAAATTGAATAAAATGTATTCGCGGTCCGGCAAAAATTGAAATAAATCGAACATGATATAATAACATATATTTTCGTAATAAATGCAATGACGGGCACCACTATGTTTTTAGGTAAAATGACTCACAGAAAACATTCTAAATAAAGAAAAACTATCAAATAATGTCCCGCCAAAAAATGAAATGAGTGGAACATAAAATAATAAAATAATATATATGCGCAATAAAATACAGTGCTGGGCACCCATTATGCGTAAAAATAGCACACAGAAAACATCCCACATTAAAAACATGTAGCTACATGTTGAATCATGTACAAACACAATTAGGAATTTTGCTGCTGTTTTGTTTCCAATATAAGATGCAAACGAGGTATCGAAGAAGTTTTTGCCACACGTAGCTTTGCAGCAGCGTCCAGTCGATTTCTTTGCTTCGTTTTGATTAAAAGTAAGGACGTAGCGTAAGTAGCTGGTTGAAAATACGGACAACAGTTTGATTGCTCGATCACTTAGCGATGGGTATTCGTTATCAAGATATATCCAAAATTGTGACAGTGTTCTTTTTTTAAATCTGGACTTTGAAGTAGAATCACGAATCACTTCGTGAAATGGATTGTTGATCCAAAGATTTAATTGTCGAGGATACACAGTTTGCGGGAAATAATAATCAGAATTGTTTGCCGATTCTTTCAAGCGTTGTCTAACAATGCTTAACAAGTATTTATTATTAACATCAACACTAGACATATAATTATTTGAAGTTGGGAACTTGACTATATTTTGTTCGAGCGCAAAATTTTTCCACATAGCCAGCTTTTTCTTGAATGCATCTGTCTTCTTTTAAGCACAAAGATATTAGTGTAAGCGCATTGTAGAGATGTATTGAGTTCGTTCAAACGACCGAATTGCCAAGTAAGTAAGCAAGCTTGCAATACCACGTTTCATCCATCCTAAATTCTCCTAATAGGGAACTAATTTCAATCAAAAAGAATTTTGTTTCTTCTCGGAGTTCAAAAAAGGCGTGTGAAAATTCGCCCTTTCTATTGCCATCTAACTTCTGCGTGAAAAATGAGGTGTTGATGCTGTGAATCTACACTTTCACACAATGTTCTGAATAGTCTGGAATTCAGAGGACGAGTTCTACTCGCATTAATATTTTTACAGCGTTGTTCAGTACGTTTTTTTTAACTCAGGAGAGAGTTTTTTTTAATAAAACGCTGTCAATGGATGATGCAATGAGTATACAGCGTTTTCTCATGTGCAACTTCTTTTATTTTTGTGACCACACCAGTGCGACATTCAGTCATTCTAGCAGCTCCATCCGCACATGCCCCGAGGAATTTTCCCCAGTTTATACCTTTTGCAATTAGATATGCGTCAAGAAATCGGAATATCTTTGCCCCGTTGGTACGTCCTGGTAAACTGATGCAACAAAAGAGTTCTTCTATAAAATCAGTTTTTTTCCTGATATCGCACGAAACAAAAAAGAATGGCACAATTACTCAGATCTGTGGATTCGTCGAGCTGAATCGGAAAACATGGTGAACTCTTTACCTCTTCTAAAACCTGCTTCTCGATATCTATTGTCATATCATCAATTCTTCGCTGAACTGTGTTGTTGGAGAGTGGTGTATGCCTCTCAACTTTTGAACTGCTTCAGCAACCAAAATTTTTTCAGCTGCAGATAAGATGCACGGCTTTACTAACTCTTTCTCAATTGTGTACGGTTTTAGCTATTGGAAAGGAAACGCTAAATATGCTACACAAAGAAGACATTTTTCTAAAATTGTCATATTTTTCAGTTGCTTGAAAAGTGTGATTACCCGGCGCCAAGACGTCACTGTGCAGCAATCATCAAACAGCAATATGAGAACGGAAAAGAAATTGAGTAATAAATCAACACAACTTCATCTTTTTGGCTTTGCGATTGAGACCCCTTTCGGATCGGAGGTTGGGAACCACCGACATATACAGTAATATAGAAAACAGACGCCATGAATTAAACGCTGCTATAGAACAAGAATGACTTATGTTTAATTCTGGCATTCTGATAAAATGGCTTTTAAAGTTTTTCTCGCAAGTAAATTTTTGATAGCGAGTTTATTTTTGTATATCTATATAAAATTTTTCGTTTAATCTGGTTGTTGCATTTTTCTAAAATATTTTTTTTTCTTTTTTTGCATTTCTTGGTTTATTTTCAACACTGTTTTAGACATAAATCTCTTTATCGCGATATTCGAATATTAAACCCGATTTGGAATTCCTTGCATTAAATTACCTCAAAACAAACAAATATCACTACAAACGTTTTTTCAGTTTTCGGCCTTTCGTATGTAGAATATTTCACGTTAGTCGAAGCAAGTTTTTTACGAATATAATTTTCGTAAGTTGGATTTTTCCACTGTAGTTCATAGTTATTTCATCCGGTCCAGGAGCTTGCATAGCGAAAGACAACATGATTACCACCATCCTATTGGTATTTTGTCCTGTACAACGACATTGAAGAAGTGGATATTTTAATGCCCATGCTTTTCAGTTGTTCTATATACTTTAAAAACGATCATACTACTTCGCATGTATACCTTTTTTACCCTGAGCTTTCTTTCACAAATAGCAGGACGAGTTTTTGGTGACGATGTTAGTGACCGTGAAATTGATGACCCGTAACCGCAGGGACTAATAGAATGTCGATGTAGGCCCATGGGGGAATACTAAATTTTTTTCCCTTTTGAAAGCCGCTTCAGCAGTCGGCGAGTCATTTTGTGCAATTAGCGCTGGCGCATAATGCTTCATAATCATCCCTTGATTCAAAATTTTGAACAACCTGCCATTTATTTGAAGTACTGATAGCTAATTTTAGTATATTGCAGTTTTTTTTCTAAAAAATTCAATAAATGATCAAAAACTCCTCAGAAGACAATGCAACCCTAGCGATTTTGGTGTTAGATGTAACTGTGTTGACATCTCATGTTCAAATGCCATGCCTGCCCAGAGTGTAATAAAATGCCATTTTATTAATGTCAAAAAAGAGAAACATTTTCCCGAAAATAGTAGCATCTGACATATTGATATACATTAATGGATGCTTACATCTTAATTTCAAAAATATTATCAGCACAGAACGATATGGACCCACCTGATGCTCCATCGTCTTCATTCCTATCCATGTTGTTGGTTGAGCAGATGATTCAATGGTAAGATATTTAAGGCACCTATTTGTGTTTTCTAAGTTCAGTGTATAAAAAATTCCCAAATATTAGATAACTTTACAAAAAGCTATTGAACTGCAATAAATAAATAAAATTCATTACAAAGCTTTCCTGGTAGAAAGTTTTATTGTTCAACTTTTGGACTGATTCAATTGACTCAGCTAATTAAGAGTCAGAATGTGTCTATTTCATGGTGTCATGTTTTCAAATTCACGAAATAAACCAAACTGACATGGAACAGTTGTTCAAAGCTATGGCTCATTTACAACTGAATATTATTCTCAGGGTACAGGGGTAAGGTCGATGGTTAATGCTATTAAGGAAGTACAGAAACAGTAAAGAATAAATAAAAATATTAAATATCTTCTAGTGGGGATGAAACATATTTCATCAAATAATAGTTCTGGTTTGTTATGATGGATCAAGAGATATCAGCAGTTGTAAATACAGGAATAGACACTAATACAATGTCTATAGCAAGCATATATACTTGAAGAGGCCCAACTATTTATAAATTATAGCTATAAATATTACACACAATATAAATTATGTAACCAATAGCAATTCCAAACAATATGATTATCGTTCAAATTACTATAGACTAATTTTTTATCATCCTTTATCTTTTGTTACCGGTAAAGTCAAAGTAGGCACAAATAACTCTGAGATATATCGGAGTTAAAAGTTGGAATTTTTTACTTCCTAGCATTGAAGACTTGATATATCCAGCTTTGAAAACACAGTTACGCAATCACTTTCTCTCCTTATATACTTTATAAATATGTATGGCATTTCCTCCATATGATAGTTTTTTTTATTTATTTAATTGTCTCACAGTCATGATTGTGATTCTTTACTATTTTTTTGTTCACTGATATTTTTAAATTCATGAAGTTTTAGCTACCAGTATGCGTATGACGTACTTCCTTAGTATCTTATACCAATCCATCTATTATAAGTATATACTATTATAGGTCTCAACGTAATACGTATTGAACTGCAGTGCCAATATAGAATTATTTGATTACTGTAGTGCAGTGGTTTTCAACCTTTTACTGGCCGCGTACCACTTCAGTGTTTTTTACTCTGGCCGCGTACAAACGACAAAACCGCTTTTGTGGCGGGGAACAACGGCACGAGAAAAGCCTATGATGGTATTTTATGCGGCACTGCATCCATTTTTAGATCTTCGTGCAAAGTTTCAACGTATTAATTATATGCAGTAACAACGTATTAATTGCGTGCAAAATCTCGAGAGAATTTGCGTCGTCTACCGTCAGAGCTGAAAGGCTTTATTCATCGCTAACCCTGAATTATCGCAAAACTCTGACAAATACACTTTGGTCGGCGCTAGCCGCAATCCGGAACTGCCTAACCTAATCTTCTAATTATTTGGCCCCAAAAGTCAAGATTATGCCGAACAGCCAACACACACATCAGGCAGTAATAGTAACATCCTTATGATGTATCTAGGCTCTATCAGGGTATCTCGACACGCGTCAACCACTCCCTCCGAAATCCGAACGCTCCTCTCGTTGCCGAATTCTCAATGCAGATGCTTTGTAACACGTAAAACCGGCGAAAATATGCCCGTCTCGTTTTCCTTTAGGTGGGATGTAGCGAGCGAAGGGGCTCTATAAAGAGAAGGACTGGTAACGCTATTCAGCAAATACATTTAGTAATGGAAGGTAAAGAGATAGCGTTTCTGCCATATTTTAGCCCCATTCAAAAGTCGGTTGTTGCATTAATTCAAGGCTTCTCGGGTATCACTTGAAAAGCCCCCGCGTACCACTAGTGATACGCGTACCACAGGTTGGGAACCACTGCTGTAGTGAAACCATTCGAAGAAAACCTCATAAAGACTGTTTTCCAGGCTTTTATTAACTTTAAGATTACTATTATACTAAAACAAAAAAAGAACAAGTACATGATGTAGCAATCTTAACGCACGCTAACCAAATAATAACCTCGCTTCGGGACGAGACTATCAACGATAATGCCACGTTGGCCACATTAGGTGGCGCTAATTGAACTTCATAAAAGGAGTCGCGACTAGAGCTGTGCATTTTCGAATACCTGATGATTTTAGCATTGAATCGAACCGTCAGAGCTATGGACGGACAGAGCTAACCGAACTATGGAAAAATTACAACAAATTCAAATTCGTTATCGCCGTTAAAAAAAATTCAAGATCTGATATAAAATCACATACAGTACAATTAAGTACAACAAATTTTATATAAAAAAGTATATTGGATATTAGAAAAGAAAATTTACTTTTTGGAAATACGGAAACACGTGACCTTGAAGTGCACGTCACTTACGCGTCGCGTTCAGGCAAACGACATCACAAGGTGAAAAAGTATTACCTTATGGTGAAATATTGGATTTGATATAAATAAATAGTTTAATATTCTTTTTTCTACTTAAGTTAGTCATCTAACATATTTCGAATACATATGATATGGCGAGAATGCAATTAAAAAAAACATATTCTCAATCAGGTACAGACTGTGTAGACAAATCTTCAGTTATATTGCTTTCTACCAAATTGTTAAAATATACACATACGCTTAGAGTACGAATAAAATATTGTATTTTGACAATCTTACTTAGGTTATCTCTGTATCTGATGATATATATATATATGTTTGTGTTCTCATCGTAAATCAGCTTTTTTATGATGTTCATGAAATATGCTCAATATCACCGCGATAATTGACAAGTACAAGTACAACATCCTAATGCTATTCTGCACAGCTTAAACTTCATTTTGGACTCAAGAATGAGATCATGCTCGGGCCTTAGTTTGCCCATGTTAGGTGTAGCGATTCTTTCATAGTGAATGTTCGAATAAAGATTTCCACACAGAGGTACATGCAGTGGCGCAGCCAGGGGGTGTATAGTCGGAGTCGAAAGCAACTTGGAATTTTTCTCTTAACATAAGTATGTCTTGTGCCACGACAACGACAATATTTATTTTAATTCAGTGATAGCTCTTTATACGTTCATCCGTAGCGAGATGCTAACGACAAACATAGTGAATCTGCGACGCAAATTTTTTGATTGGAAAACGGCAATCAATATAAAATATTCAAAATAAAACCGAAAACAAAATAAGTCGTATGAGGCCGGCAACAGATTAAAAACGTTTCTGAAAGCCTTGTTCATTGCAAAATTTCACACAATATGTTTGATTAGCGTCGTGTTGCATATCTTACCGTCAATGTAATCGAAACAGTCAATTATCCGCGGAAAGGATAGGATTTACGTATTTATCCCCGTCAACTGTCTTCGTGTTAACATTATACGAGGTTGGAAACGCGACTTTTCCCAGGATTGTGAAGATATACAACATAATTAATCTAAAGTATATATATTTAATCAAATTTTATTGTAAAAAAAAACAAATTTCATTCCGCGAGATTTTACAGCAGATTTTTCTAACGGTTATAAATTACAGACAATTAAATTAATAAAATACAGAAATGTTAAAAACATTTGTATCGGTCATGAATTGAAGACTTTGCTCAACAGAAAAATCACTATGCCGTTGAAAACTTCGGATCGATAAACAAGTGGCATATTCGCGGCGACGCAAGAAGACGCAACCGCGAGTTACGTTGGACACAAATATATTAATAATATAGAAGGAAATTAAGATTCTCGCAGCGGGCAAGAATTGAATATTTCACGCGACAGAAAAGTCGCCCCCCATTTAAAAATCTTGGCTGCACACCTGGATGCATGTATAACTTCTTTTACCATTCATTTACAAAATACTGTAAGTTAGTGGTTCTCAACCTTTTTCAGTTCGCAGACCGGTAAAATTTTAAAACAAATTTTGAGGACCGGTGAACATTCAAAATTAAACAAAACTGTCATGAACACAAAACATAGTCAAAAGAATGCAATTCCGACAAAAGCAGGCGGTGCAAAAGAAGACAATCCAATTTAAAGGGAAATTTGCTGCTGTCTTTTTAATATTATACATGTTAAACGCGGTTCGAATGAAGTTTCTGCGAGGTGAAGTATGGATGTTTGAACTGAACTGAACTTGCTGTTTGTTTGCCTCCATTTTACTACCAAACCTTGCAAAAATATAGGCCTACTGTCAAATTACGGAACGTGCGAACTGCAAAATTCACAATCAGGTACTGTACTATCAAAATCCTCCGTTATGACGTTAGCCGCCGTTATGAGGTCATGGACTTAACAAACATTCGGCCGCTCAGGGCTTGAAGTGGGAAGAAGACCTCTCACCAAGTTTGGTTGTTAGGCGAATACCGGTACTACGAACCAATGAGAGTTAAAAAAAAAAACACAAAATTAATGGGCACGCCGTCTATAATCTGTATTTTGCAATTTGCTTATGATATATTATTGCTTTGCTTATGATATATATTTTGCAATTTGCTTATGATATATTGGAATATATTTGGCGGACCGGCAGCAAAGTTGATAATCAGATATCAGATAATGTTGCATAATACAGAAAGAGGCAAAAAACTCCCACGTATTTAATTCACATTAAATGAAGTACTAGCCCTCGTGATTGCTTCAACCGTCAAGTTTCTTATCGAATAAAAATTCATTGCATGAATGGTATTATTTAACACGTATGGTTAAAATAAAATACAAGCGCCAACCGACAAGATGACATAATGGTTTGAGTTTTTGGTCGAAGTTTCTAAATATTGATGGGCACACCGCCTAAGAGTAAAAGTGCGAACGGTTGATAAAAAAAAATATGAGATGCTCAGCAGGATCTTGTTATGCTAACCAGTAGTATGGAATCAGCAGGAGTAATATTGAACATTATTTTATTACATATTATTTAACATGAAAGTGTGTGTTATTTATCTTAAATCATTTAAGAATTGTCATCTATATTCTTTCCACAGCATCCTTGAATTCTATGTTTGTTCGGGAGTGTCTGAATTTGAAAAGACAACACGTTACAAAAATATTTTTGTGTTAGCGTAGGGTGAGACTCCTAAATTACTGTTTATGGGAAGAAATACCAAGGAACAATTACTTAATATAATATGTTTATTTTTAGATTTCAGTTCAATTCTAGGACTGGTCAAGCAAAGTCTCAAAAACTTAGTATCCAATGTTTATCGTTTTACATTAATTTTCTTCATTAAGATAGTATTTATGGTAAAAAGTCATATAATAAATTATTTTGTCTGGTCCCCAGCATTGATTGATATAAATTTCAATCAACTATAATTTGAAGGCATAAAAAAATAACCTGAAATGTGTTTGCTTTTAATAGATAATTGAAACTTCAGTACTCAGCTTGTTTTTAATATCTCAACTAATGACCTCAGTAATCAATTCTCCATGTCAGTAAGATAAGAAGTTGTGTTTACTTGCACTCCATTTTATATCTTTATAAGGTAATTAGGTAAACACATATAACAAACATATAAGATAGTATTGTTTAATATAGAACAAAATGATTGTTCTGCGTCCTTGATAGCTAGACGTACCAGTCAGTTTGAGTATTTTAATCATGAAGTAAACAGAGATTATCGTGTGCTTTCTCATAAATTGGGTAATCATTGAAGTTTGCCTGTTCTAGTTTGCCTGGTAGGGAGTGATTGACATATATAATATTCTTTGGCCAAACATGCACAGCACATCAACATGATTTGATATCAATGACTCGTGTTCGTTATATGCAATTTAATGTATCTATCAGGGCTTCTCTTTGTGCTTATTCAGAAAAAACAACAACCCTACATTGGGACCTTCTGTGACTGATTCATAACGAGCATGTTCTCCGCGAATACCTGAATTTTCTTTAATTTTATTGATTAATTTGAATTATGCATATTGTTCAATATTAATACCTTGGATCGCATGAATAACTAATTCAATTCTTTTAGCTGCTCCAATGTTCCAATGAAGTTTTGATTCAGTATTTATTTAGTAGGCAGTAACGCTGTGATATCCAACCTTTTTGGCGCACACGTTCCTAATTCAGCGTATGTTTAAACTTTTTAATTCCTTCTCCACTAAACATAAATACTTTATTACATTTGATTTTCCATCTTAAATGGAACTTAATGTTTATTACACGACAAACGAAAATGGCTTTGACTAATAACGGATTGAGAGTTATTGCAATTTAATAATTACCTAAAATTGGCCAGGTTTTGCATGAATAGAACAACAAAAACAGATAGACGAAAAAAAATTAATTTTAGTCTAAATTCGAGATTTATCTCTAATTTACCTTTTCAACATCAAGTTCCATTACCCGAGTAAGATAACATACCTGTGATTCGGACACAGTTGATGTCCATGCTGTGGATGATATTAGTATGAGTAATTCAAAGCTTAAAATCATGCTCAATAATAATTGATAAAGCTCCGTACTTTTTCGGTTTCACCTGTATGAAATATGAGTTTATTTTTATACGAGTGACCTTATGTTCTGTATGAATAACGCATTTTGCGAGCTCGTATTATTCTCATGAAACCAGATAACCTCTCAGAATCTAGAAGCTTGTTCCAAAGAAAATAAGTATAAATAAAATGTACTGTTCTTCTATGTCATATCTGTTGTGGTGATCTATATTAGCTTGTGGTTTTCATGTCTCTCATTCAAATCTTTCTTTTGGTTTGTGTTCCATGTTTATACAATATTTCACGCAATTAGATAAGTTGACATTTGTGATTTTGCTGTATAAAAATCACAAACAAACACATAACAGAAAACCTCAATTTTTCTAATTATTACAAAACTAGACTATTCACTATTCATCATTTGAAACCTCCCAGCTTAAAAAATTGTACATGATATACCTACATGAATTGGACATGAATAAACTCGGCTAGGTGTCATCTTATGTTTTCCTGAAGGGAAGCAGATATAACAACATAAATAGGGTGATAATTGTGAGAACATCGAAGACTTCTTCTTCATCGAAGACCTTTGATGTTCTCACAATTATCACCCTATTTATGTTGTTATATCTGCGGCCCTTCAGGAATTGATTGTTGATTCTTGAATTTTTTCCATTCCAAGAAAATATTATCACGATCATGTAATTGATCTGTTACAGGCTAAAATGGCAAACAAAAATAACGAGTATTTTCAAATCCATTTTTGCTGAATTAATTAGAGTCGACATATTTTAAGTTCATTGACGCTTAGCTAGAGGAAACAATCTAGTCATTTGCGGAGGCGCTAAAGCTGTTTTGATCCTTTGGTTCGGATGGCGGTAAATCGCACCAGCCACATCAGCCACCATCAGTTGCTAGAACGCTGGTTGATAAACCCGAAACTGCCATGTCTCTGAGCAAGCTACATTAAGTAAGTCTCGCCAAACTAGTATTGTGGAAAGTGCATTTATGAAAAACACGATAATGCAACTAGCAAGGTTATATTTGCCCCTAATGGAGTCAGGTTTTGTCTGTCATCGATGTGACATAATTTCCCATTTTTCCTACGAATGCTCGTTTTCTGTAGAATGGGAAAATTTTGCATGAGGACAAAAAATAGCCTTTTTCAGACTGTAATACAAATTTATTAACATTTCACAAATTAATAAAAAAATTATTTGAATTATTAATATCATGGAAATCCCACGGGATGTAGTGAAACAGACATAAATTGCTAGGCGATAATACAGATAATCAAGCGCACATGAGGACATGATTCTTTATTAACATTTTTAAAGAAAACAAAGCATGACCGTGACTTCACAGGCCAATTAAATATCAATGTGAAGTCGGGGTTATACCTTAATCAGAGTACAAATTTTGAAACTTGCATATTTCCACATTTGCTCATTTTTGCCCATGTAGGGATGGCGGAATCGAGTCCGGATTAGATTACAGAATCGAATCCGATTTTTGGGAATCGATTCTCAGGGTTAAAACTTGAATTGTGAACATGTTTTACGTTTTGTGACATCCACATATATCTATAAACTGCTACGTTGAGTAGCAACGTCACCGCAAACTTGTCTATATATAGGCTATATATATGTGTAGTTTTTCGTTAGAAGGCTTTTGCGTTCATTTGTTTCAAAAATCTCTATGGGTTCAGAGGAATTTGTTTTTTGTACGATATTGTCTACTGTGACATATTGATTATCCATACTTGTTTGTTTTGGTTTTCCATATATTTGAACGTCGCCTTTTTGTTTTATTTCATGTCGTATTGTTTAGGTGGGAATACTTTGTCGGGAAAGATGAGCGAGAATCGGACTTGAAAATTTAGGAATCGGATATGATTCAAATACTTGTGAGTAATCATACCTAGCAACCTTAGTGGTAAGTCGATAAAATTGAAGCTAATGAAAGAATAGAATTCGCAATACATTCATTAATACTGTTAATGTTGAAACATGTTGAAATCCACCCAGATTTTGTACTTAAGTACAAATTGGAACGATATCATGCACGCAAAAAAAAAAAAGCTATCACAAATTTTGTTTTAGGAACTCCGCAACAGATAACAAATGCTTTCTTAAAGCTATTTCGGATACTATAAATCGTCAAAATTTTGCGTTAAGTTACCATAGCACTGAAAATGAAAAACGTTAACTCTGCATAATGCGCTATATTGTACATTGTCGGTTTCACACGCCTTCAATCACAATATTTCCATGATCGAATTTATTACGGATTATGATGAAATGAAATCTATTCATTGCAATATATGTTCAATTAATTTTCTATTTTACTGTGATTGTATTAATCAGTATCACATCTGGGTTAAAAGCGTTTATATTTTTTACGGCTGTCTTCGTTTTTTACAACGCACGTTTTTCGGGGAATCATATATATATACATGCGGAAGCATCTCTTCGTACATGAATTTCATCTATATTCGACTATCTCAAAACGCTCTGTCCACCTTGCGGTAATCGCATAGTGGAATGAATGCCGCAACACGTTGTTCATTGATGCGGACATTGAATAAATACATATGACCCACGGTCTTCGTTTCCATGATAAAAATAAATTTTCGGCCGATTCAATAAATAAGGTTCATTATCCCTAGCCTAGGAGCCTCTCTCTCATTTGTGTGAATGAATCTGTAGATGCCTCACAACGAATGCGCTTCAAATTCCGCGAGTTAGACTATGTATATATCTGTAGTTTCTCAACACTGGATAGATGGGCCGTGACAATGGATTATAACATAAAAAGACTGATTGTGAAATAAAAGAACTGGCCGAACCATCCGTAAACCGCATGAAAATTATAATATTGTCGATTGAAAATTATAATATTGTCAATATTTAATATAAACGTCGGTGACGAAGCTTTTCCACACAACGAAATGTTTTCGACTCTGTGACAGAAGTAATCCTTTGTAACCAGGCGCTACGCCGGCAGAAAAATTCTCTCGGACCAACATCAAAACACCATGGTGACAAACATCAGCTCAAGGACTGACGGGTAAAAACCAATGGTCTAAAATAAAGGCATGGTCTTCTTACCCTAACGTTTGTAAGATCTTTCAAACTCGATTTTGTGTGTCATGACTTAAAAGTGATAAGGTTACTTATCTCAGGTATGCTAATTTCATTATTCAAATTAATAATTGTAACGGATTCGATAGTAACTCCCTATAAGTGCTAATTATCTATTTTTTAATCTTCGAAGCAAGAAATTATATAAAAAATCAGAAAAATATTTTGGTGTTCTATTTTATAGCATTTTAATTTGATAGCCCTTTTTACTACCATTGATCATTTTGAAAACAGCAGCGTTACAATTAAATTATAAGGCAAATCAAATATTATCATTTACCTGCTACATGTTAAGTAAAATCTTCTTTGCTTCAAGATATGTTGATGATAGTACTGAATCATATGCAAAATTCCCCGTCGCATTGCACTTTCGTTATATCATGTGTAATTGTAGTACACTCCTTCAAAACAATTGAAATGTAAACAAAAACATCTTGATTAATTTCTCGTTAATTGGTGAACACTTTATATACACTTTATTTCGACTATGACGCAGTTTGTGTTTCGATGTGAATTGTGCTGCTTGATTATTATTATTTGTTTCAGATTCTATGGCTGTTGCTTGAAAGTATTTTGTAATATTTGTTATACGGTGTTTTGATTGTTTCTGGGCTAAACATGTAGTAGAGTGCCACCACGTTTAAATCCGTGTTTCTGGCAAATGGCATCTAGTCACACAGAAAATAGCCAAGAACAACGTCAGATAGATTATTCAGGTTTGTTTCACGCCATGGTTTATTGCTTTGAAATATTATGTGATGACTGAGATGGAAGGCAGACCAAGTTACGTTAGTGACAAGAATGGCGTTGCAAACTTCCTTGCAATGAAGAGACTAGCAGGTAAAAATATTGGGTATTTGGATACAACCATGACGTACAAAATCAAGAATGATATAAACATTTGATTGACATTTGTAATTTCATGATATAATAATGATTTTGTACTCGAGCTAACTATTCTATTTAAAATACGTTTTACATGACTGTGTTATTTTATCACTTGATAATTTTTTTGTTGGAAAAAATTTAGAAGGGAAGTTATTCAATGATATCCTTGATTTAATCAAAATTCAATAATATAGAATAAATTAATGTTTGTCATATAATTTTAAAGATATATTTTCCAAAATATAAAAAATTTAAAAATATTTTCATTTCATTGTTTTACTTTTGTCAACGTCGGGATAAATACTATTTTATACACTTTTATTGCCCGTCTCGTTTTCCTTTAGGTGGGATGTAGCGAGCGAAGAGGCTCTATAAAGAGAAGGACTGGTAACGCTATTCAGCAAATACATTTAGTAATGGAAGGTAAAGAGATAGCGTTTCTGCCATATTTTAGCCCCATTCAAAAGTCGGTTGTTGCATTAATTCAAGGCTTCTCGCGTATCACTTGAAAAGCCCCCGCGTACCACTAGTGATACGCGTACCACAGGTTGGGAACCACTGCTGTAGTGAAACCATTCGAAGAAAACCTCATAAAGACTGTTTTACAGGCTTTTATTAACTTTAAGATTACTATTATACTAAAACAAAAAAAGAACAAGTACATGATGTAGCAATCTTAACGCACGCTAACCAAATAATAACCTCGCTTCGGGACGAGACTATTAACGATAATGCCACGTTGGCCACATTAGGTGGCGCTAATTGAACTTCATAAAAGGAGTCGCGACTAGGGCTGTGCATTTTCGAATACCTGATGATTTTAGCATTGAATCGAACCGTCAGAGCTATGGACGGACAGAGCTAACCGAACTATGGAAAAATTACAACAAATTCAAATTCGTTATCGCCGTTAAAAAAAATTCAAGATCTGATATAAAATCACATACAGTACAATTAAGTACAACAAATTTTATATAAAAAGGTATATTGGATATTAGAAAAGAAAATTTACTTTTTGGAAATACGGAAACACGTGACCTTGAAGTGCACGTCACTTACGCGTCGCGTTCAGGCAAACGACATCACAAGGTGAAAAAGTATTACCTTATGGTGAAATATTTGTATTTGATATAAATAAATAGTTTAATATTCTTCTTTCTACTTAAGTTAGTCATCTAACATATTTCGAATACATATGATATGGCGAGAATGCAATTAAAAAAAACATATTCTCAATCAGGTACAGACTGTGTAGACAAATCTTCAGTTATATTGCTTTCTACCTAATTGTTAAAATATACACATACGCTTAGAGTACGAATAAAATATTGTATTTTGACAATCTTACTTAGGTTATCTCTGTATCTGATGATATATATATGTTTGTGTTCTCATCGTAAATCAGCTTTTTTATGATGTTCATGAAATATGCTCAATATCACCGCGATAATTGACAAGTACAAGTACAACATCCTAATGCTATTCTGCACAGCTTAAACTTCATTTTGGACTCAAGAATGAGATCATGCTCGGGCCTTAGTTTGTCCATGTTAGGTGTAGCGATTCTTTCATAGTGAATGTTCGAATAAAGATTTCCACACAGAGGTACATGCAGTGGCGCAGCCAGGGGGTGTATGGTCGGAGTCGAAAGCAACTTGGAATTTTTCTCTTAACATAAGTATGTCTTGTGCCACGACAACGACAATATTTATTTTAATTCAGTGATAGCTCTTTATACGTTCATCCGTAGCGAGATGCTAACGACAAACATAGTGAATCTGCGACGCAAATTTTTTGATTGGAAAACGGCAATCAATATAAAATATTCAAAATAAAACCGAAAACAAAATAAGTCGTATGAGGCCGGCAACAGATTAAAAACGTTTCTGAAAGCCTTGTTCATTGCAAAATTTCACACAATATGTTTGATTAGCGTCGTGTTGCATATCTTACCGTCAATGTAATCGAAACAGTCAATTATCCGCGGAAAGGATAGGATTTACGTATTTATCCCCGTCAACTGTCTTCGTGTTAACATTATACGAGGTTGGAAACGCGACTTTTCCCAGGATTGTGAAGATATACAACATAATTAATCTAAAGTATATTTAATCAAATTTTATTGTAAAAAAAAACAAATTTCATTCCGCGAGATTTTACAGCAGATTTTTCTAACGGTTATAAATTACAGACAATTAAATTAATAAAATACAGAAATGTTAAAAACATTTGTATCGGTCATGAATTGAAGACTTTGCTCAACAGAAAAATCACTATGCCGTTGAAAACTTCGGATCGATAAACAAGTGGCATATTCGCGGCGACGCAAGAAGACGCAACCGCGAGTTACGTTGGACACAAATATATTAATAATATAGAAGGAAATTAAGATTCTCGCAGCGGGCAAGAATTGAATATTTCACGCGACAGAAAAGTCGCCCCCCCATTTAAAAATCTTGGCTGCACACCTGGATGCATGTATAACTTCTTTTACCATTCATTTACAAAATACTGTAAGTTAGTGGTTCTCAACCTTTTTCAGTTCGCAGACCGGTAAAATTTTAAAACAAATTTTGAGGACCGGTGAACATTCAAAATTAAACAAAACTGTCATGAACACAAAACATAGTCAAAAGAATGCAATTCCGACAAAAGCAGGCGGTGCAAAAGAAGACAATCCAATTTAAAGGGAAATTTGCTGCTGTCTTTTTAATATTATACATGTTAAACGCGGTTCGAATGAAGTTTCTGCAAGGTGAAGTATGGATGTTTGAACTGAACTGAACTTGCTGTTTGTTTGCCTCCATTTTACTACCAAACCTTGCAAAAATATAGGCCTACTGTCAAATTACGGAACGTGCGAACTGCAAAATTCACAATCAGGTACTGTACTATCAAAATCCTCCGTTATGACGTTAGCCGCCGTTATGAGGTCATGGACTTAACAAACATTCGGCCGCTCAGGGCTTGAAGTGGGAAGAGGACCTCTCACCAAGTTTGGTTGTTAGGCGAATACCGGTACTACGAACCAATGAGAGTTAAAAAAAAAAAAACACAAAATTAATGGGCACGCCGTCTATAATCTGTATTTTGCAATTTGCTTATGATATATTATTGCTTTGCTTATGATATATATTTTGCAATTTGCTTATGATATATTGGAATATATTTGGCGGACCGGCAGCAAAGTTGATAATCAGATATCAGATAATGTTGCATAATACAGAAAGAGGCAAAAAACTCCCACGTATTTAATTCACATTAAATGAAGTACTAGCCCTCGTGATTGCTTCAACCGTCAAGTTTCTTATCGAATAAAAATTCATTGCATGAATGGTATTATTTAACACGTATGGTTAAAATAAAATACAAGCGCCAACCGACAAGAGGACATAATGGTTTGAGTTTTTGGTCGAAGTTTCTAAATATTGATGGGCACACCGCCTAAGAGTAAAAGTGCGAACGGTTGATAAAAAAAAATATGAGATGCTCAGCAGGATCTTGTTATGCTAACCAGTAGTATGGAATCAGCAGGAGTAATATTGAACATTATTTTATTACATATTATTTAAAATGAAAGTGTGTGTTATTTATCTTAAATCATTTAAGAATTGTCATCTATATTCTTTCCACAGCATCCTTGAATTCTATGTTTGTTCGGGAGTGTCTGAATTTGAAAAGACAACACGTTACAAAAATATTTTTGTGTTAGCGTAGGGTGAGACTCCTAAATTACTGTTTATGGGAAGAAATACCAAGGAACAATTACTTAATATAATATGTTTATTTTTAGATTTCAGTTCAATTCTAGGACTGGTCAAGCAAAGTCTCAAAAACTTAGTATCCAATGTTTATCGTTTTACATTAATTTTCTTCATTAAGATAGTATTTATGGTAAAAAGTCATATAATAAATTATTTTGTTTGGTCCCCAGCATTGATTGATATAAATTTCAATCAACTATAATTTGAAGGCATAAAAAATAACCTGAAATGTGTTTGCTTTTAATAGATAATTGAAACTTCAGTACTCAGCTTGTTTTTAATATCTCAACTAATGACCTCAGTAATCAATTCTCCATGTCAGTAAGATAAGAAGTTGTGTTTACTTGCACTTCATTTTATATCTTTATAAGGTAATTAGGTAAACACATATAACAAACATATAAGATAGTATTGTTTAATATAGAACAAAATGATTGTTCTGCGTCCTTGATAGCTAGACGTACCAGTCAGTTTGAGTACTTTAATCATGAAGTAAACAGAGATTATCGTGTGCTTTATCATAAATTGGGTAATCATTGAAGTTTGCCTGTTCTAGTTTGCCTGGTAGGGAGTGATTGACATATATAATATTCTTTGGCCAAACATGCACAGCACATCAACATGATTTGATATCAATGACTCGTGTTCGTTATATGCAATTTAATGTATCTATCAGGGCTTCTCTTTGTGCTTATTCAGAAAAAACATCAACCCTACATTGGGACCTTCTGTGACTGATTCATAACGAGCATGTTCTCCGCGAATACCTGAATTTTCTTTAATTTTATTGATTAATTTGAATTATGCATATTGTTCAATATTAATACCTTGGATCACATGAATAACTAATTCAATTCTTTTAGCTGCTCCAATGTTCCAATGAAGTTTTGATTCAGTATTTATTTAGTAGGCAGTAACGCTGTGATATCCAACCTTTTTGGCGCACACGTTCCTAATTCAGCGTATGTTTAAACTTTTTAATTCCTTCTCCACTAAACATA